TTTGTCCCATTTATATTATTATTTATTATAGTCTGTGATTAAATAGAACGAATATAATATTATGTTAAAGTAGAAAGTTTTATCATTCAAATTTTTTCCAAATTCAATAAAGTTATTATTAATGTTAGTTTACATCATATAAACGTGATACATATCTACAGACTACAAAACTAGTGACGACTATCGAATGCAAGTACTTAAAATGCAATATTCATTCCGAGTGTTCTTTTCACTCTTTTCCTTAACTGATAGTCAATCACCATGTCGAAAACTTGTCATTTACAAACTGCAGTCATTTAGACTACGTGAGGTATATATTTTTTAATTGAAAATATTGTAGTTTATATGAGTACCCGCCTATTCCGAATGCACAAACAATATATACATAACTCGTGCCTTTCCATCTAATAAATCAGATTTAGCATACTTTATTAATTATTATTATTACAATATATAAATATATAACATTAATACCAATACCAAAATACCACTGAACAGTATTATAATAATAAATACACTATACACTTACATTAGTCCTAATTAATACAATCAGGCATATTCCAACAAACAACCGTCAAAACAATAACAAAAATCACAATAGAATAACTTAACCATATAAAAAACATAATTACTTATTTTACTTTAAAAACAACTTAGCCATATAAAATCATATACATGCCTTACCAGTCTCAACAACTATCTTTAATTCATAAAATTAAAAGTCCCATCTAAATAAAAATAGGAACTACTTCAAAGAGCCACTATGCACTATGACAGAAAGTGGACTAATTAAAACTCAATCGTTCTTTCTTGAAATATCATATTCTAACGAGCTATGAAATAATTAATTGATGTGCCAACACTCTGTACATTTTTTTGCTCTTCCATAGTATAGCATATATTATTCAGATAATTCGAATATTATCAGACATCAGTTTAAATTAAAAATCCCATAAATGTATCGTTTGTCAGTTTACGTATTATTTTAAATTAGGTGATCAAATTGGGGAAGAAGAGACTTAGAAACTTACACCACCTGACTATAATTTCAACACCCTCTTCCCCCCCTAAAAAAAAAAAACCACATCTAATAACCTTTTTGTTTGCGCATTATTCGGCCGTGGTCGTATTTTCCTTTTCATTTATAATTGCATATCATCTTCACAAACTATCCCACTTACCTATTACTAAACAGTAAACCATTTATTTTATTTTTATTCTACTATGCTATAATAGTTATAAGGTAAAAACTTATTAATTATTACTAATTTTATAAATGTTGAATAAACATTACCAAATTAAGTCAGTAGACATCTTCGGTGCTTTCTCCGTTTTACAAGTAAATTTCTAATCCACTTTAATTTCAGCAGTTCATAATTAACTACGTCATATGAAATATTGAATAAAATTTACCTATCGAATCAAATCAATGTTTAAATATCGAAAAAAAACCAGGCAATGTTTGTTACCTTTAAATTTGGTAAAACTAATGGTGCTAAACATGAACTATTATTGTACACACAGGATTTGAACTTGTAGAGCTGTGCATGGGCTATAGGCGTATTTAGGGAGCTTAGCTCCCCCCCCCCCAGTTCGGAAAATAGCCCAACCAAAATGCAGACGAAGCCCTCCACGAGTCAGTACATGTCTACCCCTAGAAGGGCTACAGTCCCCTCCAAAAAATTGATCACTCTATGCCCATGGTAGGGGCGTATATAGGATTTTCTCGAGGAAGGGGAAATAAAATAACTTTTTAGTACTTATATAAATCATATAATTAATAACAATTCGCAAAAATTTTTGTATAACATTTTTATTGCTGACACCAAAAAATAAAATTATCCTTTCAACATAAAATAAAATTGAGTTTATTTTTATTGTAACTTTTTAACTTAAGTTAGGTACTTTGTATAAGCAATTCTGGTATGGTCTTATTTTAATCTTGTTGTTATTATGATGTAATGTCATTGATTAAATATGCATATTCAATCAATGGTAGTTTCACTCACAGCTCATATGATAACAAAGTTATAACACCTACACTGTTATACCGGGTCTTTAAAAAAAAAATAAGAGAATGGATCAATCCCTCATATCCCTCCTATAAATACACCACTGGTATTGTGGTAAATAGATGAATGTAATGTTAGTCGATTATTGTTTTCTTAAGAGAACGTCCTATTTTATGTAGTCTGTCTTACAACCATACGACATAGCAAATTTGCATTCATTTGAACCCATTATATTGTGTTGATAGCTTTAATATTAAAGTGAATTTATCTATTATCAAAGTTAAAGGCTAGAACATGTCAAGTGATGTTGCAATTTTTTGATATTATAATTTTAACTAGATATGAGCGTTTTCAATTAAAATATTTTACATAATCATATCAGTCATAATATCTTACTTAAAAATTAAAATATTAAAAAAAATTAACTAATTATAGCTAAATTCACTCTAATAGTAAGGCTAACTTAAAATTAATTTTATTGAATACAAATTTGCTTTTACATGTATGCAAGACAAAGACAACATATGGGTGTGACATTCTCTTAATTACAAATAACTAAAGAAGCATTAATGAATTTTATTTTAATGTCATTAAAGTAATTTAAAGTACTTTTGGAAAAATAATTCACCATTTTACAAAACATTTCAGTAATGTCGTTTTTAAGCTGTTAAAAATAAATTTTTATAATGTAGGTTTTAACATTCTGTATTTTTAAGGAATTAAAATCCAAACCCAATTAAATTCATTTTTATCATAAGTACCTACTTGTTACTTGTTAGATTAATACTGCTAATATAAATACATTTATTTATAAATTCCTAATTACAAAATAATTTAGTAATTTTCTTCTTAAGTTAGATTTTTCATATTTTTTTAACAGCGAAGTTAAAAATTAATGAGGAGCTTTGCATCAAATTCTTAAATCCAGCAAATAATTTTTAGTCAATATTAAAAAAAAAAAAATTTAAAAAAATGATAGTATAAACATTTGGTAAAAATTTCAAGTACCTACAGACTACAGTGGTTTGGTTTTGATTACATAAAAAAAACAAGATTGATTAGTTCAAAAAATTATTGTTTTGTTGGTTTTTCGGCACCGGTCCAATGTGCGACCTACACATACAATTTCAGTCCAGTGTGCGATCTACATGATATACATATTGACCTATACTGCATTTGTAAAAGTTATTATAGTTATTAATTAATATTATTTTATTCTTTAAATTTATCCATATTAATAGTTATTATAGTTATAAATTTATTTATAATTAATTATCCTTCTTGTCTGATAAGAATTCATCGTAATTTTATGTATAATTATTATGTCATAAAAGCATCTTTCATGTCTGATAAACATTTGTCAAATATAGTTTGCTTGTTTGGGCGATAAAGGTATCCTAATGTAGCACTCATTTGATTTACTAAAATCACTATAACGCCGTATTTAAAATAACATAATTCGACAAAGACAGTGAGACCGTAACTGAATGCCGAACAGTTTACAATTATCACGTTTTTAATACCAAATATTAAATGATATTATTATAAATAATAAATCTATATTCTGTACCAGTAATTTCAAAATGTATTTATAATTTATATACTTATTAGTCAATAAAATTTACACATGTTATAAAAACGATCGATAGTTTCAGATAAATTTAAATTTGTTACTTTATAATTAAATGATATAAACATATTAAACTGTTATTTTATCATACCAAACAAATAAAAATAAAATGGAGTATAAAAACGAGCATCAAGTATTTTCTTTAAATAATATTATGTATTAAGGTAACTTAATATAGAATAATTAAAAATTTGTTTCAAATTAACTAAAATTTAAAAAACCAAAAGTAATTATTGTAATTTTACTGATTTTCATTTAATTATTGAGAATATGTTTGAACGTTTATATAAATAGAAGTGCAAGAAAAAAAAATGATTATAAATTAATATTAAATTTGTTACTATAAGTAATTATGAGTTGATTTGTCTTTTTATTAAACAAATATTTTTTTAATGATATAAAAATCATTAATATATGAAATTAAATAGTAGTTTATTATTTGTAAAAACAAAATGAGATATCTATTGGTTTAAATTTAATATAAAGCTTCAAAAAAAAAATATATAAAATTAATAAGCAAGTAAAAATGTTGAATTACACATTCCTAAGTATTTAAAACTATTTTAAAACTACTCAATGTCAAAAAAAAAAAAAAAAATAATAATAATAACATTAAATTATAAAACTAATTATTATACCTAAGGCAAAACCATTAAGATTCTCCTAAATTGTTACTATGCAGATAGCCAAACCAAAAAAAAAAAAAAAAAAAATTAAAATAAAATAATTTATAAGTCTTAACCAACTCATTACAGCTAATTTAAAGTAATTAAATTACTATTAATCTATGTACAAATTATAAGTATACAAATTATAATAATCAATCAATTTAGCAATGTAATATTCTTAAATTAAATTTTACATAACTTACTAGAAGTTAACATTTTATATATTCACTTATCCCAAGTACGATTTTAAATTAAATCTTTGTGTAACACAATTGTTCACATAATATAATGTCATCAATCATCTATTTAAACAATTATTAATAGAAAAAAAAATAATAAACAAGTAAAATGATTCTTTACTTTTTTAATATATATATATATTTATATAGAAATACATATAGATACATTTACATATATATTTATATGTATTTATACAATACAAACAAGACATACATAAATATATATACATATATAATATATTCATTTACTTATGTTTTTTCCATACAATTATATCATTTACTTTAAAAAATAGATTTATAATATAAGATAAATGGGATGGATGCAAAGTAATATTCACAATTCTAATTATTTACAATTTTCTTTTCTTCTTTTAAGTAAAAATAATAGTTATTATTCATCTATATTTCCAACAAAATAATTTGTTATGTGAAAAAAAATCATCAGCTAAATGTCATTAATGTCAAAAAAAAAAAAAAAAAAAAGGAAAAAAAATTAAGATTATGAAAAAGTTCTATAAATCAAAATTTAGTTCGGATATATACAGCACTAGTATCATGATCACTATAACCCAAACGTTTTGCATGTTTAAATACTTCATTTACATTTGCCATAACTGGACAAGGTTGTTCCAAAACATCAGACCACACTAATGATAAATTTAAGTCCTTTTGAATATGTTTTAGAGCTTGATTTGTTTGAAAATTATTGTCCATCATGGCTATAAATAACAGGTATATACAATTTACATTATTAAATTAAATTAAATATTAATCAAAACACGTGATACCTGTTCCTTTTTCTATTAACAATGGACATCTTAATGAAGTCATTTCTAGAATTTCTAACACTTCTTTTTGCGGTATATTAGCTCTATCTGCCAGAGCCATACCTTCAGCTAATCCTGCTAAAGCTACTGCTTTGATTGAATGTAAAATCAAATTCATTTTTGTGGCCGCTCCAACATCACCTAGGAAATAATTATATTATAGAAATTTATAAAATAAAACAATATTAAATTTACCAAGATAAAATGAATTTTTAGAAATCGCACAAAATGATGATTTGCAATCAGTGAACAAAGATCTATCGCCAGCTGCCATACAAACTAAATGCCCTTCTTCTGCATCCTTTTTACTTCCCTGAATCATAGCTTCCAAATAACGGCCTCCTCTGCTCAAAATAGCCTATAATAATGAGTAATAAATAATAATAAAATAAATTATATTGATCATTAACAAATTATATCATGTTTATGATAAAAATATTTAGTATGTTTTTGATAACAAACCTCACAAATATCTTGAGATGTTTCTGGATCAATACCAGTCATTTCAACAAATCCTTTATCTTTATTTATTTCAGGAAGTACACCACAATTTCCAAATACCATCTGTAAAAGTCACCAAATACAAATAACTGTATAAAAAAAAATAACAAAAACCTTACATCTTTAGCAACTTGTGGATCAGAAACACATGAAAATGTTATATCTGCTCCTCCTATAACATCAGATGGAGTTAATGCAACAGTTGCTCCAGCATCTTGAAACTTCTGACACTGTTAAATTAAAAATTAAGTATTTGTAATTTAAAAAAAATATATACTTTAAGTACTTCATGCATTAACAAGAGATTAATGTCAATTCGTATTGTTATTATATAATTACCATATTTAAATAGATTAATATTTAATATTATGTTTGATTATAAACATTAAAAATAACAAGATTTTAATCAAGAACCTAAGACAAAGACTGAAAATAATAATTAGTATAATAATTTATATTTCATAAACATAAAAATAAAATGATTGTTATGTAACAGAACTATAAATCATTTTATTATAATCATAATAAAAATTTTATTTTTTATACAAAAACAAGTACTTATCTAATATTTAATACAGGAATGACATGATTAGTAAAAGACAGTGAACAAGTTACCATAAACAGGTCTTTCAATAATATTTACACTGTTGTCACCAGCTTATCTTATTAGAAATAACTTGTCTTAACATGTTAATATGCTATTAAAATGTTATTACTTTATTTGTGAGAAGGCTATTATTCATAAATAAAGTCCAACAAGTACAAATGTTGATTTATTTATGGGTTTAAAATTATTATTTTGATTTCATAAATATTTTTTTCAACTCTATGTTATAAATTATAATATTATAAATACTTATGAATTATGATTACCTATGAAAATATAAATAAAGACAGAAAAAGTTATTGGAAGGAACGATTAATTATACATAAATTCAATGGGATTTGAAGAAAGAAATATAAAAGGATGAATATGTAAGTTTAACATATTATGTTGATAAACGTATCATGCATGTACATATGAAGTACACATAAAATGATATATGAACAATGTGGAAGTTTATATAATTTTAGTATAATTATTACAATCTTATAAACCGGTTTTGATAATTTAATGTAATTTAGACTTATAATGTAAGATATTAGATTAATCAGCATACCACAATTATTTAAATAAATCATTAAGTTGAAACATAAAGAATGATTAAATGTTAAATTATATTTACAATTTAATTTACAAAACCTTTGTTGTGTACATAGCAGATCAATAATAATCCATGTTTACTTAATAAAATAGTAGTAATGTACATTTCATTTATCATAAATACTAAAAAATGCTGTTTAAGTATTTAAAATTAAATACAAAATAATCAATACTGCAGCAGATTACAAATAATTAACAAAGCATTTAAATTATGTACTGTATAATTTTATGGTGGTTTTTCGTGTTTAAGACGATAATAATATAATTATATTTTTACATCAGTTGATTAATTACATAACATTTCACGTGTTACGTGTTTTCGCCGATCGACCTTGATCAGATTATGATATAAATTCTATTTTTAACTAATTTTTTTACGAAAATTTATAAAAATCGTATACCTTAAAACTTTCAAGTACATGAATTTATAATAATTATTAATTAAAATATTTCATAATATACGGAGATGGATGGGCTGCAAACCACGACTCGAGAAATTACTGATTATAAAATAATATTCTAAATTTTCTTATTTATTAATTTATATAATACTGTTTAGTTAAAACGATTACATTAGTCATCAATCATTACTTATTAGTCATTAGTAACCAGATTTACATAAATAACCAAAAGTAGAATAGTTGAATATTTTTAATTATTTGATCAATTATGATGACCGAAATACGAAAGCGAAGTATCTTCATGTTACAGATTAAAATTTGAAACTTTTGAAACTATTTGAAGTTTTATTTGATCTTTTTTAAACAATCAAATATTTATGGACGGTATTTTAAAACATATTTATTTGACTTAAAGTGACGACTTCATGGCTCACACAACTTCTTTGTATAGCTCGATTTGAAATAAATTTAACTTATAAGCTAGGTTTTCACTAAACAAGTTCGCGTGTACGTGGATAAAAATTCTTAACTGAGATGATTGGTGTCCACGGAAGGCATTTGATAAAAAAAGAATGGTTATACAATTTTATTACAATATAAACCACGTTACCGTATAGTTGAACTTAGCTCAACATTTTTCATGGACACAGCACAAATATACCATAGTTACCTAATTTAACCATTGTGAAACGATTGCGGAGACCGTTTGTAACGGACTCAATCACGTATACTCGAGCGTGTATAGTGGAAATTCGCCTTTAAAGGTAACATGTAATGCATTACTATTATTGTTACCTACGTATTAATTAAATACATTTACGAAGTACGATACAGCACTACACGGTGTAGTAGAGACTCAAAACAGACGTAATTCAAAATATTCTGTTTTGATTAGATAGTAATTAATGAGTACTTGTACTTGAAATACACGAGATAATATTATTCAAATAGTCTACAAAGTCATAATTTCACTGTTCTTCACAAAAATCAAGATATCAATCTCATCTGAAACTTTCAATATTATCCATAATAAAATAATAGAAAAATAGTAGAAATTTTAAATGATATACCTCTCTCCAACAAACTGTGAAGTATTAAATTGTACGTGAAAAATTTAAATTTACTCCCGATATTACAAGAAGAGAGAAAGTAACCACAATTTAAACTAGAATAGGTCACTCCCCATTTAACGCATGTTTATATCATCAGAAATAAACCAACACCTCAACCAATATGCGATACTTACCATGAAACTTTAACAATAGAGCATAATATAGTCAAAAACTGCATTCTTATTATCAAATACATAGAAGTTTACAAGATCCTAAACAATTTTCTTACACTTTATCAAGCCCTCGACAAAGAGAATACTGTTGCATTTAGTAAATGTTTCCATAGTATAGACCTAAACCATAAATAGTAAATATCTTTGCATCATGATATAATTTTAATAATAATAATATAAATTTTTTTTTAATATTTAGCTAAAAACCTCTGTTGAAGCTTTTACCTAATACGAAAATAAATATTAGTAAATACGCATTTAAAACTATATCATAACATTTTACTATATTCATTGAAATGTAAAAAATATAATGTAATATATTATTTAATATTTAAATAATTAATGTAATTTCACACAACTGAGGCGTTCAGATAGACAATAGTTCGAATTACTTTAACTGGCTGAGGAGCTACATAAATCTATATTATAATTGATAAATAATTGTTTTCCTTAGGATAGCTAAATATGAAAGATTTTTATTTTGATCACTTAAAAATTGAAGTATAGTTGATTCCATAAAAACAACATTAACAATATTTGTTTTATAGAATATTGTAGTTATATATATATATATATATATATATATAACTAATAATTAGGTTTAAATTAGTAAGGCCGCTTTCATTTGAGCCAATAACCCAAAATAATATATCGTTTGGAAAATGTATACATATCGTTTGGACTAATATACGTTTTCCTACCCATTTTTAGAGAGTTATGACTCTCAGTTAACTCTAACTGATATAGTTAAAAATGTGTTATATTGTCATATAATTTATTTATTATCTTAATTAATTTTTTTTTATTAGTATTGTATCTCATACCCATTTGTTTAATATAATCTATTATTCTTAATTTTCCGATTTGATATTCTCCCCATCATTTTAATGTATATACACTTTAAAATAGTTATCACAAATCAGCCGAAACGATGTAATAATAGTATTTAGTTAAAGGTAGTAAATATATAAAAATTATTGTATAGGTAGGTATGATACTTCCCTATTATTCAATAATTTATAAACTCGCTAAAACGATCGGTTAATTTCTTGCCCAAATGAATGATGCCCAATTAATAACGTTTCAAAGGGGTCATGCGTGAGGTAACTGAATACAATTTTTTACATATTTTGAGAAATCACTACATTGAAAGGTTTATACGCTATGGTTTAAGAGTTCTGAAAAAAAAATTATGAACATTGAAAACAAAGTTTATGATCATTCAATGTTTTTAAAAAATCATTTGATAATAATATAATCTAAATACTTGTTACAATGTAATAATAACCGGTAAAGGAACCAATAGTCTAATGCCGTTAAAACATGATCATCGAAAACTAAGATATTTCTAACGAACCTTTTAATATCAATGAAGGGGAAAATTTAAAAGAACAACGGTATTTATAATATCATCTATTCAAATATCCAATGTTTTTAAACTCTGTAGAGCCTCTAGTCTTAAATCTTTTTAATGAAAATTAAAAAGATCATTAGTTAATTATTAAGGTTACTGTATTTTGAATTTTCTAATAACTTATTGCTGGAATACTGGATAACGGACAACGTTATAAATCGTTACAAGCACGCGTTCGACAGTGTATCCATAGGACAGTCGGAAGCACATTGGTACGATTGGCTGCACTGACACCAGAAAAACTGGCTTGGGAACGTTTAATACAGTTGTCGTCAGTACTTAGTACCCACTACTTAGTATCCATATTCTATATCATTTCAAACGTAGCGCGGCCGCTGACATTTTATGATTATCGTTTTTTTACAGTTTACCCGAGTAAAGCGTCTGGCAACTCGGAACAAATGAGATCTAACTGGCATATAAAACGCATAAAAAGGTAAACGTACGAAAATATTATCTATTACGAATGTATATAGGTAATATCTTTCGAACAGTATCTATTTTACATAAAATATTTCAGATAACTCAAAAATGGATTCATTAACGATTATTTTGACAACCATCATACTTCACAAATTAATTAACGCAGAGGATGCGGCCACAGTTTGCGATAACGACAGTACTTGCAAATGTGTCAATAACACCGTGTTATGCACAAACGCGACGTTAGACCAAGACGGAGTGTTTGTCCTCCCAAATGGGACAGAAATTTTACATTTCAACAACGTTCCAATTAAAGTTGTCAACAATAGTACGTTTACTAATGGAAAATTGCAGAAAATTACATGGGTGGCAAGCAAGATAAAATTAGTGGAAGCCTTAAATCACAATGATCTTAAGTATTTAGATTTATCTAGAAACAACATTTTTAAATTGTCAAATGATGTATTTCATAACTGTCTTCTTTTAGAGTATGTAGACTTGTCTGACAATCAACTAAATATTTTATCAGACGATTTATTCTTATATACTAGCTCATTAAAAACGATAAATTTAGAAAAAAATATTTTTAATTCTATATCAAAAAATTTATTCAAATATACTATCAATTTAAAAAACCTTAGTATAGGGAATCCAAATTTAACTTTTCTAGATGAAAATGCAATGACTAACTTAAACAAACTGGAATATCTTAGTATTGAAAATTGTGGAATAAAAAATCTTAATCAAAGTTCCTTTGGTGTACATAGATATCTAAATAGTATTTTATTAAATAATTGTACACATTTAACATCGATTGACAACAATTTCATCGATTCATCATTAAATTTAAAAATTATAGAACTCAACAACTGTGGGACAATTGAAATCTTACCACCTAGTATTGTTTCTCTTAAGAACCTACAATATTTACAAATGTCAAATACACAAATTCAGCCAAATTGTCAAAATGGATGGTTTAGCCAATGGTTCAATAATGAAACAACTACTGTAGTTGGTTATGAAAATTATTCAAATTTTATTGAAACACTGAATGAAAAGAACTGTCCACCAAAAATATACTACACAAACAGTCGTATTACATTGCAGTTAACCAAAAAAGGAATCATTAATTGTATGGCTTATGGAAATCCACTGCCAGCATTTACTTGGCTAGTACCAGGTGGGTTAACATTTCATGAAAATAAACAAGCCGACATGGATATAGTACACCACCCAAACATCCACAATTGGGATCTAAATCAAATAGTTAGTCAATCACTTTTAACTGACAAAAATGGATCTTTACATATTCTACGAATGTTAAGAACTCATATTGGTAATTATACTTGCTATGTATCAAATAAATATGGAAACAGTTCTAAAACAGTGGAAGTACATCTAGACAGTGAAGTATTTTTTAATATCAAAATAAATGCACTGTTATTGGGGATATCATCAGCATTAGGATTTTTAATGCTAACTATATTATGTTGTGCTTTCAAGTTATTATTAATAAGGTTAGTAATAATATTTTATACCTCATCATAAAAATATTTATAAAAATTTTGTTATAGACTGAATTGTATGAAAAAAAGGAATCAACCAACGGAAACAGAAATGGGATCTACTGAAAAACCAAAAATGTTTCCAGAAAATGTTTAGTTATAAATAATTGCTATATGATTTTTTTTTTTTTTTGTGGTATATATAAATTTTTTTTAACCTAAAATCAGTTAAAAATATTATTAAAATAGTACAAAAATAAATTATGGAAATATTTTTTTAATAATTTTACAGACTTATTTTATATATCTCCTCACATAAACACTGAAATAATTTAAATAAAATAGTAGTAATATAACTGTATTCATTTATATTTGAACAATATGAAGTTTGTAGAAATAAAAAAGATAATTGTTCCATTAAATAATAAAATAAATTAAGATTTTCATTGAAAAGAAACAATAAAAGAATTTTTATTTACTTGAAAGATTTGTTTTTCTAATCGATTTTTTTTTTTTTTTAAATGCATCAAATTTATAAATTAAGAATTTAACTATTAATATTAATTTTAAATGGATTATAAGATTTCAAAGAAATTAGTAGTATATCTTTTCAGTAGATCAAAACTAATCAATATTCTGACAAAGAATCAGTCTTATTAAAAGGAAATATGAATTGGAATTTACCATACAATAAAAATTAGTTTTATGTGTAAAAAATAATAATAATAAAAAAAAAATTGATAAGTTATATTTTCATATTATTAAATATACCATTATATTATGGTAATTAAATTAATTACAATTTTAATTTAAAATATTATATTATTCATTACAAATTTTTGAAGTTTTAAAGATTTGGAAACTAAAAAGGGGAAAAGTAGGTATAATATGCTAAGTTATATAATACATGTTGATTCTATCTTGTCATTAAATGACTGTAATATATATGATAAATATGAATTCAACGATAAAAAATATAATTATAAGTAAAGGTCTGACTACTGAAATCTTATTCTATATAAATATATGAATGTAATAACAAAACAAAACACGTATGAGATTAATATACGTAAATTAATAAATACTTAAACATTTGAACACATATCGGAGTCATAATCACACTTAAATGTGTGAATTAGTTAATCATGTTAATAAATTTAATTGGTATCAACTGAAAATGTATTTTGTTTATTATTAGGGCTTGAATTTATATATATTTATGAAACCAAAATATATACATATATGTGTTAAAAAACTCAAAATATATATTTTATTAATGATTTATTTAATTATTATTAATATATTCATATGAATTTCTAATGAAACAAATTGTATTTTAAATAATAAAATTATTAAACAAAATTTAAAATTATAAATAAAAAAGCTATAAAATAAAATAAAAAATATTAATTATTTTGATTATAATTTATGATAACATGCATTTTTAAATTTTCAAATTCAAAAAATTTTCGATTTGGTCGTAAAACTGCCTTATGCTGACTAAATGATCTTTCGACTTCTACTGATATTATTGGACAATATTGCATTTTAATTATATCTGAAGGAGTAAGTTCTACATTTAATGAAAATTCAGAAAAATAACCAGTGTAGAAAATACTTTTGATAGCTATTAATAAATCGTAAATAAACAAATTGTCAAAATATGTAGGAAAAAATGGAATTATTGAGAAATATATAAAATCATGTACTTATGGCAAAATATATAAAAATTTGTAAAATAAAATACAGTTAATTTAATTAGAAATCCTTTAAAACGAATTTATCAAGTAATAGTAAAAATATGTACATATAAATCCGAGCCCTATTTATTATAAATATCAAATATAATATTAATCGTATTTTATTTGAAGATTAATTCATAATTTATCAACATATTTTATTTCTTTGTTGAGCACATACAACGCATTAAATTTGTGTTGTTAATTAAATTAATCTAATCTATATTTATGATATGAGTAAAATCATCTTTCTCCTAGAAATAAAAATAGAGAACTAAGTTAAGGTGTAAAATTCATGGTAATGCCTGGAATACACAGAAAATTTAAAGCCACGGATTTTATTAATTTAACCTTAATTTCACGTGTTTGCATGTCACTATTGTTAACCTTTATTATTTGATATATTCTATAATATATTTTATGATTTTGTAATTTAAGATTTATTTTTAATATTATAAATATTAAGGTAAGACAACTTAAATCTTTTTTTTTTTAAGAATTATAGTAGTACGTACTTATATATTAATGTCATTAACTTTAAGGTCAATACTAACTTGCTATAGAATGATTTGAATACAATCATGGTTCATGGTATAATAAGCAATATCACAAAATTAATTAAAGTTTTAAATCTCTACAAAACACATTTTTGAATTGTAATAAAATAACTAAAATAGTAGTTCTTAGTTTAAATATAGAATTTTTTCCAAATTAAAATTTAAAATATCTAATAAAAAAAATCATAAATTTTCTAGATTTGGTATAGTACTAACTATTTATGAGGAATCTTGTATTAATAAATTAAGCTTTTTGAGAAAGTAATCATTTTTTTTATCAATCTTATAATATAAAACCAAAACGAGCTTCCGAAAAAATCCGCCAGAATATTTATAGAAACAAATTTTTCAAAAAATCAAAATTGTCTAATGTCTATAAATAACTCAAAAATTCAACTTTAAGTTGAAGATTACACCATGTAGAAACAATGTTAATTTTAACATAAAGTAAAAACTTTAAGTATCTATAATAATTTCTTATGAATTAAATAAAACGAAAAGAAAGTTTGATGAAGTTTTAAAAAAATTTATAAATATCTATGGTGATTTGTTCATGTATTACAATTATAAAAATTGATTTTGGTAAAAACTGTTTTTATATTAGAATTCCTATTATTCCCTAATTAATTTTTGGTTTTTTTTTAATTATTAAAAAACACTTAAAAGTTTTAAATTTTTACCTAATAAAGGTACCAACAAAGTTCACATTTCATCCAGAAATAATACGTAAACTGAAAATCAAAGCACTTTTTCTACTGTAAATAGAGTGTATAATAATATTCAAAAATATTGCATTGAATTCTTAAGTTAAAAAAAAAGAAAGTAGCTAAATTCAATGAAAATCACTAACTTAAAATATAAAATTATTAATAAATAGTTACATTCATTATTTATGAATTTTATACAAATATTTGTATACAATATAAAATAATTTTTATTTGATTATAAACGATGTTTCTTCAAAATTGAAGCCAAATACTACTATTTATATACTTAATTAATGAAAACTATATAAAATTCTTACCTTATCTGGAGTTCGATTCCAAACGACAACTTTATGTCCAGAATTTAACAGATTTTTGACAATTCCTGAACCCATATTGCCTAAGCCAATAAATCCAAATATCAACTTTGATGGTGAAATATTCTTGTTCATTAATGATTTAGATATTGTTGAAATATCTAACTGGGTGGCTTCCTGAAATCAATATTATATCATTATAGTAAAATACCAAACAAATACATTATTTTTATATATTTACCGGAGTCTTAACTTCAGGTCTGTCCAATAAAGTATTATTCTTTCGAACTGGACTAATGCTGTTTGTTAATCCAAGATGTGTAAGAACCTCAGTATTATTACTAGATTGACCCACTCTCGAGTTTAAGCGGGGTTTTTTAGGTTTATCTTTTTTAGGCCCATTAGAGGTAGATCCAACTGGTTTGGACCGTCTCTTCTTAGTTTTTTCAGAGCTTGATAATGATGCATTGCGTATGTTAGACTAAAAATTAATTATTAATAACTTAGATATTATGTATAACATGAAAAAATTACCATGTAAATAGGTAAAAGTCACAATGGGTTTTAAATTTCATGACATAATAATTACTTAAAAATAAATATTTCTTAAAATCTTAGTATCATAGTAAAAAAAACTATATCTACAAGATAATCAAGAAATAGAGAAAATATTTTTTGTATTTGGGAAACATATGTTAAGATAAAAAGTAAAAATGAAATAATGAAACAAATGTCAAACTAAAATAGCATTTAACTAAAAAAAAGATACAATGAATCATAAAAATATGAATGGATTGAATATACACTGAAAAATTGTGGATTGCTAAGTTTAATTAAAAAAAGTTAATATTATAAGTGAAGATCACATTTGGAGTACATTATGATGAGCAAGAAATAATGAAGGACCAAAAATGTAACTCTAACGAAGATAAAGACAATAAAAAAAGAATAGAGAATTATTACAAACTAATAATAAGATTGAAAAATGTTGAATATAAATAAAAACATATATTTACAATTATCAATACATTTTTAATTTATTTAATGAATTACCAATAGTCAAATTTATTGAGATTTAATGTTCTATATTCTTTATTTGAATTAATATACAAAATGGATTGGTAATCCACTTTTTTAATGGTTCTTTAATATACTTTTTGATTTCATATTTCTAGACTACTGATAGATATCAGCTCATTACATTAACTCTGGTGATATGAATTCATAAGAAAATTTAGTTTTTATGTTTATTGTGAACTAAGGTTTTTAAACAAAATTAGTTTCATTTTTTACAAATACTTTTAATAACTCCTATCTATAAGTACATTTTTTTGTGCACTTTATTAATTATTTTATACATATTTGTATGTGTTAACTTAACATAAAGTTTTTGTTTTTCAATTAACCTCCTTACATTTTTATTTTTTTGTATTGTTGTATTTCAAATACATTTCTGAAGATAAATGTGATACTAAATTCATAGAACTAATTAAAAAGTATAAATTAACAACAGTATATAATTTTAATGTTTTAAATAATCTTATATACATCCAGAAATAATAAAGCTTTGAAATACTGATAGAAAGTACAAGTTATCTAGATTCATTTATTTCTTCATAAATAAACTCTTATAGTAGCAAATAAAATGTCGCATTACTTATTTTTTTCAATAAATTACAAATGTATATTTAAAACATTAAATCATTGTTTTTTTTTTTTTTTTTTTTTGAAAGACGAGTTAATAGTATTTTATCATAAGTTTTTATGGCATTGGTAAAGCATGTAATTTAACAGATCCACCGTGATTTACTATTAATAAGGAAACATGCCTTTCATGACTATGGAAATCATACTCCAGTTTAAATGATAGTGGCTATAATCATTTAACTGTCTATCATTTTGAAAATTTAGTGAATCCTGTAAATAGGGTTAACATGCAAATAGAATGTTTATGGTCAATATTAAAATTTAAAATATTAAGAAAAATGCATGGGACTAATGAAAATCTATTACCATACCATTTAATTGAATGTTGATACCGCTCAATGAAGAATAGGAATAATTTATTTATACATTTTTTAGAAGATATCATAACTTATATATTTTGACTAATACTAATGACTTGTAGACACAAAAAACTTAAAATGTATTAAATAGTTATTTTTTAATTGAATTACATTTTCATTACATAATTTTACATATTTATTTAACTAGCTATTTACTGTTTTCTCGGTAGATCAAACACTAAACCTTTAAATGCCTGGTAGATCACACGCTTAACTAATGCCGTTTTTCATATTGTTTTCCTTGAAACTTATTTCTTGTCTTCATTAAATAGATTTTAATAATTTATTATTAAAAATATTGTTTAATATGTAGATTGTGTTAGTAAATAAAATAACAAATTTAGAAGTTCTAAATTTATATTATTTGAATTAAATTGACCTGTATTCTATTGTTAGTTTTGTATTTTAATATTATAAAGTATAATAATATCTAATGAGAGGTTTTTTGTTTAAATTAACAAATAAAATTTAATAATGTACCAGATGACCTTATAGATACTTCTTAGTTTAAAAATTTAATGTTCTGAATAGTTTTTTTACATATTTTTTTTTTTCATTTAAAACATTCATAACGCTTTATTATATGATATCTAGCATTGGATATAAATGATCAAGATTGATTAACAAATGCATGAAACTAAGAATTCTCATCACTAATAGCACAATAGTCAACTTTTTTAATATTTTAGGTTTGAATGGTTGTAAGTATATAGTCTAGTCAAATATTTATACTTACAAATACACATTTTTCATTAAAAATAGAAAACGGAACATTTAAACATTAGTAGAAATATACAAATGTATAATCATAATTTATCTTCAACAAATAAATCAAATTAAACAATTACTAATATACATTAAATTATTGGTTTCATCATTAAATAATATCCATATTTGTAAAATTTAGATTATTTTATTGAATATAATATACTCAAAAACTCATTAATCTATGAGTTTTTATTAAGTAGTATTAATACACATTTATTATAAATACACCACTATTGACAAATTTTTTTATTGACTTTATTGATAATGCCCTATCCATTTTTTTTTAAAAGCATAAATATACAATTATATAAAAGAAATTAATAAAATCCATCTGCTATGTAGACCAAAAGAAACAGGTATGTTTAAAGGTATTTTTAAAATGTAGAGAACAAATATGCTGAACATTTAACCATCTGCTTTTTTAACTGATAATTCACAAATCACGGTTCCTTAAAAACATTTATCATGAATTAAACTTTGTTTTAAGAGATAACCATAAAACTATATTTACATCTCAAACTAGGTTTTTATTTTAAGGTTATATTGTTATATATTTTTTTATTCATACCATTTTAGTTTTCTCGGATTGGAAGGCAGGAGTTTCGTCTTGAACTAAATTCTCAAATCGTGACTCAGCTTCAGATAATCCATTATTTACTCCCTAAACAATTTAACAATATAAATTTAATAAAATACAATTTTAATAAAAATTCTCACTTCATTGGTATTGTTTTCCAAAATGTATTCTTCAATAGCCTTACAAGCGTCTTTGAAATGTATAGTCTTACAACTATAGGTTAGAGTATCTTTAAACTGAAAATAAGGCTTTAAACATCCCACTTCAATCCAAGCACTATAAGAAAAAAAATTTAATGACATTAATAATTGACAAGTATTTTTTTGGAAATTGATATACACACGACAAATATCTTTACAAAATAGTTAACATTTAAATAGAAATATTTTTAAACAGTTGAGGTTATTAAGAACATTAACTAAATAATGACCATTCAGTAAAAATAAATAAGTCTTATTTGATTTAAACTTACTAATTATTAGTTCCATAGAAGAAAATACATTTGCAATTCTTCTTTGGTTTTTTAGCAAGCTGGATAGTTGGCTCGCTTACCTAAAATAAACAATATACTTCTTTAAATTTAGTACAAACCTATCACATCAATCGAGTACAAATAAAATAGAATAATTGTACGACTAAAAACTGAGTGTGCACTATGTCATCAAACATTAAAATTGGAAAAGGCTGTACAGCTATAAAAAATTAACACTACATAAAAATGTCTTAAGGATGTATAATAACAGACATCTACAGCATTATCCTAATAAGCCAGTGTGCTTGTGACCTATAGCACACCAAGCAGGGGAGGCTGCTTAACATTGAACAATATTAGATATTAAGTAGATACTAATAGTAGAATATTGGCCAGTATACCTCCAAGTGCGAACCCAACAACAAGAAAAACATTGTCGAGTTATGACATGTACAATACAGTATGTGCATAGGACATATATGTTTGACAATCGTTTCACATGCTGACAGTCTAAATTCAGGCCAAATAAATCAAACATGATGGATAGCAGTAGTAATTAACAGGGATCCGTAGAGTCAGCAGTAAACAAAATTTTAAATTATAATAATGACATATACACAACAGTTCATGATCGGTGTTATTGGACCATTGGTTATCACTTCTAAATTATATATGCGCCCGACGCACCAAAACAAATAAATCGACGAGCGTATAACAATTACAACAATACAACACACATTATAATGTAAAAATATTTAAAAAAAATAGAATTAATACTACGGAATAATTTAAAGTCAGAAATAATACTCACGCGTCCTGGCCATGGTGGGAAGCCCTTCATTTTAGCCCTGTGAACAAAAACACACAACGGTCATTATTGACGCCGTCATAGCAAATCGCGCTCTTTTTCATTTATATATGTAAGTATAACAACACCGGCCATTAGTTACGCGTCAGCGAAATAATACTCACCAAACTAAATCGTTAACTTCGTATTTCCAATCAGTCGTCATTTTTAATGTCTACAAATATTCTGCAGCTTAATAGAACACAAAATTTTTAAAAAAATCCAACACACGGAGTGGCAACTGGCGATATGGCATCGGCGGGCGACGGTAGTCGAAAATAATGGCGGCTGCGGCGTGTCCGTGTTGTTGTGGTCTGACTGGGAAGAGGGGACGCTTAGCGAACTGCCACCCCACCACTTGTCTCGCGCGTACGAACGTTATCGTTGACTCCAGTGCAGCCAACACTATGGCTGCAGCGGCCGTTATTCAGACGCGGCGTCCTTTTCGCGGCAAAAACGTTGGGTCTCGTACGTTGGCGCGCGCGCGCATTTAGGTATAACATCAACAAACAGTATTTTAAAAACAGCCACGGACGCCAAGAAATTGCGCCACACGCGAGCTCGGGCACGCGCGCCAACCTTACCGAAAGTAGCGTCGGTCGACTGGGTAATAATATTATCATTATATTTTTTTTAATTTTTAATGTTATATGTTATATATCACACACTGTTATCATGGTTTCCCGGTATTCGGCGGTAACCGCGTCGGTTATTATTTATTACATTTCTAACAACGTCGTCACTCTTCATGATATATATTTTTATAATTTATTATAAAAAATATTGTAAATATAAATAGTAATCATTGTCAACGAATGTCGTTAGTGTTGTTACTTTTTTCGGCTCCGTAACAAAATAGACCGACATCATTGTATTTACAAGTGGAACCGCGACTGCGCGAGACCGTACGCCTAAAAATCACGCCGACCGGAAATACAATATGTATTATATCTATCGTGCACGAGATTACGAGTATCGATGACAACCGTGCTTGATGTACCGAAATCATATTGTTATTATAGTTACGACTTCGTACTTACGATGTATCATGGTTACCACACTTTACAACCGTTTTTATAAATTTTTTTTCTCCGCACGAAACTTAAGTCTTTGTGAAGGCACTTCTTGTCAATTTTCATATCTATGTAAAAATAAATAACAATTCAAGTAGTACAGTTGAAATTATATACGCTTATCAATTAAATAATTGTAGAAAAACATTTTTCTTCACTAATCTGTAATGATAAAAAAATTTAATTTTCCCCCGATCCTTGCTAATTGGAATTTTATCCATTGAGTTAGCTTGATTGTAGTTTAAATTGCGAATTACAAATTTAAATTGCATCATTTGATTTTAGTAAACACGGGTTTGATGCGTTGTAAACAAAGACCTTCTTGAAAAAATTCAATCCAAGTGTTACACATTAATTAGATAAAAAAAAAAACCGTACCTACCTACAATATTTCAATGCAGATAATAATGAATCTAAAATTTAGACTATTAGATATTTATATATAAATATATATATACCAAACATATATAAGTACTTTTGAATCTCAAAAATAACATAATTATGAATAAAAAACACCTAGTCAAATGCGTGTTAATTTTACACATTTTTTGAAGAAATAAAATGTATTTTTGAAAAAACAATTATGCATTTTGAATAATAAATTATAATATTTATTATTTAAAATCCACAATTAGTACATTATAACTTATAAGTATACTATGTAAATACCTATGTTGGTTAAACCCCACTGACTACATGTTTTTATTATTTTTTGAAATTTATGACGAAAGTCCATTTAAATGAAAGACACAAAAACAAAACCACAGTTGGTACGATTTAATTACAAATAACCAACGACTGTAGTTGATATTATATTATACAAAATCATATTAGCTCATAAATTAATTGCCTAACAAGCTGCTGCTGAAGGCGTCATTTTCCTAACGGTTTTTCGAAGTTTGAAAATTGAATAACATAGCAGTTGGATACGGATATTATGTGTTTACGAGATGTCGTTAAAAAACGTTTCAATAGTGGACTTCAAAATACGGCGCGAGTTCAGGTCTGCAGATAATAGATTATATAGTATATTTTATTATAGGTATTAGGTAAATTTAAAATAGCCGTTCATCTAAACACTAAAATCTATGACTGAATAATAATTTTTATTTTTCAGCTAAGTTAAACAAAATAACTGTTGTTTGATTGTAATATAACTTACAAGTATTATTTATTAGTTATTTCTTCGTAGACCTTTTAACTTGGTTAATAAAAACGTTTTCTTTACATCTCTCGTACATTTACGTCCGTAGATAATTTTATTCTATAATAACATGCTTACATACATTTTTTAATATTTTATTAATATTTTAAATGGTGTAATTTGTTTATTTAAAAATAGGTATTTTTATGTGTACCTAGGTAACAATTATTTCATATGATGTATAGTTTGATATTTTTATGAGATTAATAATAATATAAGATTATCCATCATTCCATTGTCACAAATATAATTGTAATATATTATTAGGTATATATTTACATCGTGTATTGAGTGTGCGCCGTGTGGTACTAGTAAGACAAAAATTATTTATACATTTCATGTTTCATGCCTAAAAACGATTTTCTTTTTTTCAATGTCACAGGTTTTTGTGTTAAAAATATTAAATTTTTTATACATTTGGTATTTCATTTTCATCATAGAATTCTAGTTCTCATACAGGTATGAATACAAAAAAATATAATATTAAGCTTCATACGTTTTATCTTTATCACAATTCACTAAAATAATATTTATTGGTATTTAATTTGTAAAAATAGGTTCAAACCATTTTACAAATAAATATTAAATGCAATCCACAGTCAATGTCAATTACACGAATTTCGTGTTATCATCGTATGTAAACCTACTGTAAAGACTTAATTTAAGAACTTGTTGCCATTCTTGCTGTAGGAACTACTTTGAAAAGAAAAATAAAACTAAAAAATATTATATAAACTAGAAAAAAAACTATTATTTTAACGTCTTAAATTATTATTATTGTTTGACAAACAATTCTTTGGTCCGAAGTGTTTTTTCCCCTATTTTATGTATAAATGTTTAATGTGAAACAAATTCATAATCGATTGACTACTATTTACATAAAAATAGATATAAGCAATCTATTACAGGCTCATTTTTTAATTGAAACTATAATATCTTGCATTTTACTTACCTATAGTAAAATTAAATTTATTTTAACCTTGAAATAAATAAGATACTTAATAAGAAAAATTTTCTGAGTGATGACAGAAACAGTTTTTTTTTCTATTAATAATACAGCAGGTTACACTCATTTTTTTCAAAAATGTCCAATATTATATTATTAATTATTATTGTTATTAACATATTATAATTTAAGCTAAATATTTATGTACCATAATGATATTATGAATAGGCTCATAATAATTACATTATATATTATATATAAAATATTATAAAAAAAAAAATTCATTCAAATATCAAAGTTGTAACAACGCAAAATTAATGTTGTAGGTATACCTTTGTAAAAGTTAAAATCCAAGACAAAATACACGCCGATGTGGCGTCCTCTGGAGTATTCTAATTATGTATTGTAACTTATAATTATATCATAATATGGTTAATGTTTATAACTATACAAAGTGTATAAATATCGTTATCTTGCCACCTATCACCTACGTATAGTTGAGGCGAATAAAGGTCACTGAACTTTTTCTTTTCAATCTACGATGGCAGTATTGTCGAATATAGCCACATTGGCGAGGCTGTTGGATTTTTGTTGGATTGGAATTTACACCTAAAAGTTTATCTTTATGTTTATTATTATTTGATGATATAATAATATTAAATTAACCACACTATTCTTAGTAAGTGAGCTTTGATCTTTATATAATATTATTTAATAAATCTGAAAATTTCAATTGGCATCTTTAATATAGACACTATTTTTATAAATATATACTTACAATCTATTTGGTTTTTTTACTGACGTAATTAAGTACATCAGTACATAGGAAAAGAGAATTCATATTCCCATAATATTTGTATACATGAATCAATAATTGCAAAAATGACACGAGTCACATTTTTGTGAAACGTCATGAATCAGAAAACTTTGAAAGTCAATAATAAAAAAACATCATATTATTTATATATACAAATTATGTATAATCAGTGCATAATATATTTCTACAAGTATTCATTTTTAAATAAGAATTTTTTTTTCAGAATTATTTAATTTATACACTTTTTATCAATTATCCAAAAGTTTTAAAAATTGATTCATGTCGTTTGTGCAAACATCGATTCAATTATTTATTATTACAATTTTTTTTGAGTAAAACATCAAAAAATTTTTGAGAAAAAATAATTAATTAACAAGTGAATATTGAATGTCGTAACTATTTTAGTTTGAAATGCTTATAAAAAATGAATTTTGCTTTCTAATAGAAATTTTTCATGTGTAAGTTGAAAAATTATAAAAAACCTTGTATTACATTTTTAAATCAAAGTTATAAAAATAAAATTGTTTATACATTTCTAACTACAAAATAATTTACTAATTTTCTTTTCAAGTTAGATTTTTCAAATTTTTTTAATTGAGAAATTAACAACTTATAAGGAGCTTTTTATTAAATTTTCAAGCATTTTTACAAAGCAAATAATTTTTAATCGATATTAAAAAAAAAATATATAAATATTTTATTTTAAATAAAAAACGATAGTATAAACATTTAATGAAAATTTCAAGTAGGTATCTACAGGCTGCAGTTGTTTGTTTTTGAGTTATATTTTAAAAAATGAGATCGACTTTGTCAAAAATTGAATTTGTATAAAAATTCCCATTTTCCTTAAAATGTTGTTGGTTTTTGAAATTTTAAGTTTTACCTGTCTATATTATACACTAGATCCAATTTAATATCATAAACTAATCGTGTACTCATATGAAAAAAAACATATCAGATGAATACATTCATCGCTTTTTAGATTTTGATTCCTATAACCCATTAACCCTTATCATATTATATTGGTTTAATAAAGCACTTGTATGTTTTAAATACTTTGCAGGATATTTTATAGTAACTAATAAAAATGAATTATTTTACATGTATATTACTTTTTTAAAAAAATAATAAAAATAGCAACGAATTTTCTTTTTAATAGGTCATAATAATATAATATACCGACATTTTATATAATAAAACAAACTCCTGTTTAATAAACATGAGTATAATATGATGAATAAAAAAAAAATATTCTAGATGCTATCTTTTAAAGCTATATC